TTGACAATATTTTTCATCTCCTTTTCAAATATTACTCCTTCTTGAAAATTGTTTTTCCTTGCTTACAGAATATAATCAGTAAGAAAAGAATGGTTCCATTTTACTAGAAATTCATGATATACAAAAATCTCTAAGACACATATTCAGTTTGACACTAGATCGTAGGTTTTAACATCTCGTTAAATGATATTAAGTTTGCTCAAAATTATTCATTCAATTTGTGAAATTAAATCAAAATTCTCTCTCAGCCTTTTTAGTTTACATAGAATTTGTCATGTCACATTTAACCAGTTTATTTGGCTTTTTACCAGAAAGTTTTATATTAGTTTAAAGTGATTGCGTAGATTTTTAACAGTATGATATAACCACGAATGTATAAACTACATTTATGCATAACTGTACGAGTTATAAGTGCGGGTTAAGTATGGCATCATCGATAGTATAACGTTCTTGTCATTCATAGGTGTGTGTACAACTTATAGTCAGATTCATATTAGATTTAGACATATTCAGGTGAGAGAATGGTAGGCGGTCAAGTGCAATATAATGACCAGTCACGTGACAGTGTTAGCCGCAACCGTCAATCAGGAAAATCCGCAATTCTTTTGTCCGCCTCCTCTCCAGATACTACACTCTACCCAACCATTATCCCATCGTTCAATGGGCTATTTTTCTCACTTCCGGCACTTCTGATGCAAGCCTGGGTATTACCTTATTATTGAATTAAGGTAAAGTAGTTATTAATATTATTCTGATGCATAGAAGCTTCCCATTATCACTGTGGTACTGTCTACAGAGGACAATATCACAGTGCCGAGATCAATCAGCCGGGTACCTGCCACGTATTAGTGCAAATAGCTAAGCCACTCGAAATCATTGAAATGGGAAATAATTGATAGCGAACATATAATACCGAAAATCTAACACGTGTACACGAGAAAGGAAAATGAGGATTTAACTAAATTGCACTAGAATGAAGTTTTATTTGAAAATAAAAATCACTAAAAAGCCAGTACGGTATTGTTTTAGAGCATTGCTAATGCAAATAATTTGTTTGATATGATTAAATACGTGGGCGTTCGATAGAGTATGTGTTTGGGGCTTTTTTTTACGGTTGTTCTGTCGATTGCTGTAGAATTTAGTCTGCGACTCTGACAGTTAACTTAAAAATGTTGCTATCGCATCAGTATTGAAGACAGGCGAAAACGAGAACAGGTTTAGCTTAAAGAATTTTAAATATATACAAATGATTATAAAATTGAATTTATATCAATATTAATAGTTATAGTATACCGTATACATCGTTTCAAAAAGTCTATAGATAATAAACAAACAGTTTTTGAGACTGTCTAAGACACAACATACATATACATGTATATTTAAAAAAAGGACCGGATGTTCTAAGAAACCGTCACACGTGAACGGATGTGCGTCACAGTCACGTGAAACAAGTTGCTTAACAATTATACACTTTCGAATGTAAAGGAAGTGGTTAATGGCGCGTTAATTACGAATGAAAAGGGAAGACTCTGGGGGTCGATTAAAGCCAGTAGTTATCCCCGTTAACGACCTACAAAGCCATAATACACCATATTGCGTTAGCTTGACACAAATGTTACAACTCCAAGAAAACAACGGCCGATAATGGCCGATCACGGCAACTATCGCCTGGTTGTACTAGAAACTGTCAGGTACAGAGCGCTGTCATCTTAACGAAATTACACACATAGCATAAATGTCTAATTCAATGTTTTACGAAAATTAATACTTTTTCTATTTCCCCTCCCTGGCACGAGTTGCTTGAATTTATAATATATCAATCCTGTTTTGAAGCAGAGCTAACATAAACATCATCCTTTTATGAATGGATGTTCCGTTTAACTCATTACGTAGGTAATATTAATGGCCTCCGAGCTTTCAGAGATCCATACTTTTTATGGCCCTCTATATTTCCATAACGGCTCCAGAAAGGTATTTAACGCGAACAGCCATTCACAATGACTTAAGTTTACGTCACCGCAGGCTAGTTGTGAACACAGAGCGCCCAGCCCTGAGAGAAAACATGAGTTAAGGCACCTGCGATTGTTTGCCGAAACCTCGACAGAAATTAAGATGACATTGTTTTATGAGCAATTATCTCGTAACACGGCGGGGGTGCCATTAAAAGTCATCAGGATAAAGTTTATGGGTTTATAGGTTGCCTACTTGGACACCGTCGGACGGGTTGTATTCCCTTCATGTACCGGAGTCTGGCATATGACGGACGTCAACTTTCCCACTGAATAGACAGATCAATCGTCCACTAGGCGATCAGATATTTTATTTTTAAGCCTAAAAACAGCGATTATTAATGTAATTTTATAAAGACACGATGTCAGAAAATGTCGTAAATCCCCTGCAAATCATCAGCAGTCTTCTCACACAACGAACTTTTTTTATCGATTATCTCCCCTTATTCCCGTGCAGTCGACATCATCGTGGCGTCTGAGTTGCACACCGGAGCAATGACACCAGTATTATAATGCTATACACTTTTTCATCGTACAATAGTCAGGATTTGTTCAATAAGTTAAAAGATATAAATCTAGTTTTGCAACGATAGATCTATAATTTCCAGTAATAATATCGAACATGTCTCCAGAAACCTTATTCTGTAGAATACAAGTTGCTCTTCAATCTCAAGGTCAAATAATCATTTATCTGACGAAATATTTAACAGTGGAATATGGAGATTTTTGATAGATTCTGTCCGTTATGTTTGGGAATTCATTTGAATTGATGTCTTTTTTTCTGTTACATTTTTTGTTTTGTTAGAAGACGGATTTCTAAATCTTTGAATCAGAATTTTACAATATACAGAAGGAAAATATGTGAAAAGAAACACTGTGCGATGATAGTAAGTGAACAGCTCGAATAAAAAAAACAGCTGAGTGTAAGGAATAATAAAAAAATCTTAAAATAATGTTTTTCATTTATTTATTTACTTATTTATTTATTTGTTTATTAGTTTTATTAGTAGAAAAAAAAACATATATGAAAAGTGTTACCAATTTCTTTAAACTTATCAATATAAAAGAGTATTATCAAATACGGAACAAATTATTCAAATGTCCTAATTTTGTCAATTGTCTCGAATGTGAAATACGTATTATTTGGAATACATCACTCAAGCCGGTTTTTAGTGTGGGTGTAAGCCCACATGTAAAGGCGAACACCCCTACCTATATAACGCTATAGTAAATCAGATTCAGCTCTACATAGATAACCTTGACAAGCAGATGATTAGAACAACCCCTAGGAGACCTTTTCCCTTAGTTAAGACTCTCCCGTCCAGAAATAGGCGGTTAAGTTATAATATGTGTGTTGTCGCGAGATTCACGTCAAACAGAACTGATAAAAAATTTACAACTTTTTTTCCCCTGCGTCAGTGAAAGCAATGCTGCCCCTTTCCTATGTTCTATGTGATACATGTATTAGTGACGGAATTCCAATTCGGAATTTCGATTAAATATTTATGGAATTTCCATTTATTCTGATATGTATATCTGATTCAGTGTGTTATTAATTCATAGAAGACAAAACGTTTCAGTTATGAATATTCAGCAGAGTGTTAAATTCAAACGAAACATTAATAATGTGAGATACGGCAGACTCGCTTTAAATGGCGCTATATCTGAAGAATCAGTAACAGCAAACACACTCGTCCCCATATAGTTATTGATAAAATATTTTCCGCATCACGACTTCATCTAATTTTCTCTAAATGATAGATTGGTTTGAAAGATTAGCCCGAATTTCTCCGCTTTCCTGATTACTCGATCCCTTTACATGTCGAGATACGTGAATCCGTTTCCGGTGACGGGTCGCTTATGTCATCGTCATATTTCTGAATTGAATCAGCTAAAATCAAATTATTGGCTTTATCAGTGACAAGCACGAAACACGTGCTTTATGTATTTTCTTCTATATCTCAGAAAATGACTATTATCCTGATTATTCTTCTCGGAGTTTAGAAATCAAACCATTAATGAGTGTGCAGATTGGGGGTCGGGTTATTGTGTTTATCTCCAGCAAAAATAAAGAGTTGGTGAAATTTTGTTTTTAATCGCTTCAAATCGTTTCGCGATAATGGTTTTAAAAAAGTGAGCATAGAAGAATATTAAACCATAAATCAAAATCAATAAGACCGAAACTAAATTAAAAAATAATATTAAAAAAAAATGTTCCTATAAACAAAAGATTGTTTGCCTTCTCGATTTTTATTTGGATTTCCCATTTCGCCCGCGTGTTAAGGATCATTCAGTTCGGTAGTGATATTCGTAGTAAAGGTCAAACAACGTACTTCTCTTCGCTTACGTTCACCCCTTCCCTCCTTCCACATACAAATCCCTGTTCCAGCTCGATTAATCGATCGCGAGTAATTAGCCGAGACTCGGTGCATCGCATCAGTTTATCGAGACATTGAGTACATAATCCCGCACTCTCTGTTTACCGACAAACTTGTACAGACGCCACGCTTAACACAGCTCTGTGACAAACGACCATTTCATTGACAGTAAAGTTTATCTTGCAACCTGCGTAACCTTACAACCAGTCAAAGGCACTCCGTCAAACTAAATAGTACACGCCATTTAGGTGTTACTCGGTAGCGCTGCGTTAACGATTTTGTCTGGTGGGCAAAAATCTGTTCTAGTGTTTTTCCTTTCTCGATCAAATGTCGATATGTTACGCTTTACAGTTTGTCAATGTGTAATTGCTCTTTATCCACAAGAGAAATGTTGGTGTGTCCTGTTTACTTTTTCTTGATCTGTTATTATGATGAAATATAAACTGTCTATTTCAAGTTTCGGGAGTGCCTGATTTCACATCCGGTCTAAAAACGAACGGATTCGTGGTTAATTGTTGTTTTTCAAAATAAACAGGAATACATTTTTTTTGTTTTTGTATTATTAACTTTTTGATGCATGACTAATCTCTTTCTTTCTGATTATATCTTCCAGGTTCAACAGACAATGATAACACATCCGAGGAAAATGGATCCCCGCTTAACAGGGTACGACGGGGCGGGCTCAGTATGTTGCGATTAGGGCGTGGCCTTCAGATGCTGCGCTTAGGCAAGCGTAGCATGCCCATGAACAGAATTGGCCGATCTCTGGACACTCTAAGCTCTGACGAACTCAAATACCTATTAGTATCAGTTCTGGGGGACAAGTTTAACCATCGTAGACAGGTGCCCCTTCCCAGGTACGGCCGCGAGGATCGCGAGGACGCTGAGCTACAGTGGCTTTTAGAACACATAGGATCTGACAGGGTAAACACCGATGAGAGCAGCGAAGGTCTCTACGATCTTGACGATGAATCACCCCGACAAATTCGTTTGGCGCCGCGCCCAGGGCGTTTTAGGCGCTCCACGGACGAACAGGACAAACAGGACGCTACACAGAAAGGCGCGTATATCCAAGACGTAGAGGAAGACAAAAATGAAGAAGAAAAAGCAATACCATTACCGAGAGTTGGGCGCATTCTTTACGGGGGTGAGCGTGCTCTGCCCCTCCCCAGACTGGGACGGGATGAAATGTATGACTACGTTTACACTCTCGAACCCGCCAAGGATTCTGAGGACAGTGATGTAGACAAACGCGGAATGCACATGCTAAGACTCGGCCGTGGAATGAATATGTTGAGACTCGGAAAACGACCAATGAGCATGCTCAGACTTGGTAGAAGTGAAATCCAACAGGAAGCTAATAAAGGAGACGACAAACGATCTCTGAGCATGCTCCGTCTTGGAAAACGTTTGCGTATGCTTCGTCTTGGCAAGCGTCCCGATGACGGTGACAGATCATTACGCATGATGCGCTTGGGTAAAAAGGACGTTGATGATAGCGGATCAGACTCAGAACACAGTGTTGAAACAAGAGGCATGCACATGCTCAGATTGGGAAGAAATGTATATAAATAGTAACAATGGACCATTATCAAATAGTATATATTTTTGACTCTTGTACAAAAGTGTTTATATACAAACCGTGATGATTTTTATTTAAAAGACACAAAAAAAAACCTGGGTGAAAACATAGACTCTACAACTCAGATCTCCGCGGGCCAGCTTATTTATTGAACAAATTTAGTGTTTCTGTGTTTCCTGTTTTGTTTTGTTTGATTGTTTAAATATGCAGATTGTTTTTATCAAACATTATCTTTACATTACTATGTATAAAGGTTCGCCCATTATGCTCATAATATATATCGTTGGAAAATACAATGATGAACACCATTCTCTTGTTTGGGTATTTAATTATTGAGTTACAGGATGTACCTTAAGATTGTGTAGGTAATACTCCAGTTGACAATATTCAATCTAACGATGTATAATTCGATCAGAAACGTACGTAAGATTTTATAGGTAATACCCGAATTGACAATATTCCATCTAACGAATTATAGCATAATTTGATAAAAAAAAAGCAATTATTTTTAACAGAGCCGTTTCAAAACACACACCATACTCAACAAAGATTAAGAAAAGGGTTGGGAACTTATGAAAATATCACTCCTTTCAAAAGTATACAAGCATGCAGCGACCTGAAACTTGTATATGGTCGAACTGTTTACCTGAATCTACCTGGATTCGATCTATGTTCGATGTTCCCATCTCTAGACCACCTTGATTAAACTATTATCAAACTACATATCCGATTATTCAAATCCAAACGGAAAGAAATGACACTTAGCAAAGATGCTATCCCACCTAATCATGGAGTCAATAAATATTCTTAAATATGGCGTAACGCATTTGTTATTTACTCGTACTTGCTCAATATATATACCTTTCCAAACTAACGTGAATTGAGATCGACAAAAATCTTCTACCGTCATATCTGTGATCCACTGTACTCTTGTGTTTCAGTAGAAGATTCGAAACCTCAAGTACACATATAATAAGATTTTAATGATATTTTGTGTAAATAATAAAAAAAAAAAAAACACTTAAATGTTGATTGCCTACCAAGATATTATTAGGATATTTATCCATACAATCTTTGGACTAGTTTCGGTCGTGACTTAAGGAGGCCAAACTGCACTATAAACACAATTATGTACTGAACAATGACGATCGATGCCAACGTTCAACGACACCAAACAATATACTCAGAACAAAATGTCGATCAAATCATTGGCTTTTTAATTTTAGTTGATAGACCATCATTGAAAACTTAAGTGTCTATCGAAATACGACTGTACATTTTTATATAATTACATTTACGCTGCAACCCGCTATATGGGTATATCCAGACGAACTGCATTTCATTATACCGTGAACTTGGAATCAGTGTCATTTTGACGCTTCTCCAACTGCCTTGCATAACTTAAAACCATAAGGAGAAGCAACCATTTAGGCGACTTTAGGATGTTCCAGAAATATAGATTTCATCAGCGACACACAATTCAACACTGCAATATAAAAAATCACTGATAACTGCCGACAAAAAACACGAAACAATTGGACCATACTTGTGTATTTGCTTTTCGCACAAATTCAGAAATAAAATTTGTGGTTGTCATCAATACACATGATAAAGACCACCTTTTGATCATTTAGTATACAGAAAAATCGGTCTATTTCCGGAATCTGTGTATCTATTTTGCGCACAAATACAGAAAGAAATTTTGAGGTTGTCATCGATATCAACGGTATAGACACCTCTTGACCATTTCCGGAAGCGAAGCTCTCTAATTTACATTAACTATCTTACTATAACGAGCAATACTTGTTTAGACTAAAACAGCAATATTCCAAAACTTAGATATCTGATACATCACTATTGTCCGCGCCTAAATGTCACGATGGCTAGAAATACATTGTAACAGCAGTTCGTCCTTTCTGGGAAATAACAAAGATTGTATGAGCACGAGAGCCTAGGGACACATCGGCGAAAAGAAAAGGCAGAATAGCTATAAAGGGGAAAACATATACAGTAAAAACGTTATACTGCCACCATTTGTCCAAATCAGTTTGGCGTTATAAAGGGATTTGGCGATAACTGGAGGGAATTGTATTAAGGAATTCTTCAGAAAACGGAAAAAAGAGATAATGGAACATGTTGTCGGTGAACGAGGTGGCAAATGAAACGAGGGGCATTATACCGAGGGTTTCCTGTAGATTCCATGAACGTAAAAAGAACGGGGACAGCAAAACAATATTAATCCTTCAATGTCAACTAAGAATCGGTTCAATCCCCATATATATCAGCAATCCTGTTGATTCTTAGTCGATTTTCATTGGTTTCGATATTTTCTTTTCTTTTACTTGATATTTGATGAATCAATTCAGGAAGACTGCTACTTCATTGCCAAATTAGTAGAAGACACGGAAGATATCCACGATTCTGCAGGGGGTCCTACGTTAGGCTCTCTTCCGTACAATGCGTGTATAGTAGGCTTATTTCTTCTCAAAACCTCCACATCAATAAGGAAAAGAAGTCATACAAGCCACACCCATCTTACACCTGATTAGCGTGGTTAATCATATGAGATATGACCGAAACTGCCAAGGATGTTATAGTTTTAGGACTAACGCCCACCTGATAGTAACCGAGCTATATTTAAATGAGCGAATTACTTTGATATAAAATTAAAATAAGATTTAGAAGTATAATGATTGACATTAAATTTTTGACACTGGGATGGTAGTGGCCGAGGCGTGTCACTGAATAGAGGCATACAGTGGTGGATTTGTTTCGACCTGTCATTGGGCAGTGCTTTTTGATGACCCAAGAACTGTGAATAGCTATTGCCCTTACACCCAGAACGTCAGAACGCCACCGGAAAAAAACCTCGTCAAGATCATGGAGTCGCCCTATATGAGTTTGTACTTTACCCTAGGATCCCCAGGATTTATGAACTTTAACACATTCTGTTTTTGTCAATACCCAATGTGAGAGATGTGAAAACACAATTCACATACTTTACACCAAACACAATGTTTCTGTTAAATATAACTAGTTAAATATTGTATACCAGCTTTCCCATTCGACTTCGCTATCTAGAGAGCTTGTCCTACATTGCAAAGAGTGGGTCCCTGAATCTGGACACCCCCTGCTTCTCGACAGTTTCCGTAATTTTACGGAAATGACCAAGCCAATCAGATCAAATGTGGACGGAGTTAATATTTAACTTTGACCCTTAAGTTTACTTATGTATCAACTTAGACATCATAGTAGTTTAAAAGTGAAAAGATATATATAGCTCTCGATAGGTTTTCGAAATTTGCGGCTTAGACTGTTTTAAGTAACGGTATAAATACACAATTAAAAAATGGAATTTAGGATAAAGCAAGCTTCTGGCTACCATGGTACATGTAACAAGGTCACTTTTTTCGCTCGGCGAATTTCCCTTATCCCATACTTAAACAGTAAATTATTTCACCAGATGCTTGTTTCCAGTAACATGGAAGAAGATATATTTATATAACGGTTTCCATACAACTCGATTCGTAAAATATTTGTTGTTCTAGTGAACCGTTAAGGTTTCCCATTTATATCGTACTATTAAAGCCAGCTTTGAATGCAAAAATACATTTCACTGTTTTGAATATTTACTAAACGAAATTCGTATTTCTTTTATATTTGAAAACTCAGTGTAAAGTGGATTGTCACTTCAAAAGCCTACAACTATTACATGGTTATCATCAACAGTTTTCTTTATCTAAATACGACTGACACGCTGGTACGCCAAAAATACTGGTTCTTTTGACAATCGTATCTCTACAGCACAGCGCCAGTCGATGCGAGATATCCGGATTCCTTCGCTGCCGTTTTTTTAGATTGCTGCGTTACATTGATTGAATCAGGGAGCATATTGGAAACCACTTTTTGTTCGAGGTTTCAGCGTAACTGTATTTACACACTTTCGAAAATTATTGATATGGCTTAACAGCATGCATTTCCGCTATTCCCATGCCGTTTCCAACCGGAAGCGCATCAGGTGATGGAATTGTGTAATTGACTTCGGCGACACAATTTTTTGTTAGGTGTGTCTCAATAACGTAAGTAAAGAAATATGAATATATATCCAATATTTATTTTTGAAATGATCAATTTGTGAATACATAAAATCGGATATTGAATCGTTTTCCGTTGAATGGCACATGAATGACATATACATGTATGTATATCACGAATATGCCATTTTCATTCATATTTTCGTTTACTCGAACCGGAAGTGAAATTAGAACAATCTTCAATATTGGTAAACAATCTATACTTTCAAAACTATTGAATTTTCCGATTTTCATACAGTAACCGAAACAGTACAGGAATTAGCATGGGATCGTCCCGTCCAAACGCTCGTTGTGTCGAAACATCTGATTGGTCGTACCAATCACATGACGACTTTGTTATTGATTCAATGTAAACGTTACATTGTCACTGGAGAATACATCACATTGTTTGTATCGCTACTGCAGTGAAGATATCAAGTTTATCATACTGATAAAACCCATATTTCATTGATAAAAAATGTTGTGTGTTTCATCTGCATGTAGATTGAAAAATTCATTGATCATGAACGCTAATTAAGACCTCATTGCACCCGTTAACTCTCTTATATACGACCACGTGTGTATCTACAAATCAAACAATGTTTTCCAGCGCTGCGGAGGCTGATTCTAAGATTCTTCTGAACCAAACAACTCGGGTTTACTAAGCGCTGTGTGTAGTGGATTAATCAATTATGGAAGAATGGCAGCCAACACCTGGTCTGTCCGTTCTCCGTAACATGTCTCATTGATCAGGTGTAAAGACCTAATAACCATCTTGTCACAAAATCAGCATTTGTCTACGATAACACTAATGAAAAAAACTCGTTAGCATTTAATTACAGATGCTACGAAACACGTGTAGCCACACCGACGTGTTATTTGTCGTAAAATATATGAAAATGTATAATTCATATAAGAAAATTCAAGAAAAGGGTCTTGCTTTTTCAGCGCGGGTAGACGAATTTTCGTTTTTTTTTTTATTCCATGTACTTTGCGCACTGTAAAAGCAGTGTAATGTGTACAACAGAACGCAAACGACAAACTATTATTGTACTGATATCCTGATTAAAAACCTAGAGGACAACAAAGCAACGGCATGCCTCCTCTAACTGCAAAATTTAAGTCAATTCTAATAACTGCCAAAGGAACTAGAAAACATCGACGAGTCAGTCTATCTTGACCCTTTCACCACTGTAGACCAAAATGGACTCATCCAGATGAATGCATGGTAGAGTCTACTAAAAAATACGTAGGGTTGAAAGGGTTAAATTTTACAGACTTTCAAAATTGGAAGTGGAATTAATCTTGTAAATCTTTAGCAAATGAATTGCTGTGTATCGGAAATCTTTCACCCTTCGTTAATAATATCTGTATCAGCCTAGTGTTTATTTTTGCTCTTCGTACGTATTTACTTACTATGTTTAGTATGCTGTTATGTTATTGGGAGGGCGAAATTAAGGAAAGTTAATCTGTAGTAAAATTATCCGGCATAAATATCCCTTCCTGTCAGCTTGACATTGACCTTAGCCATTTAAATATGACATTATTCTGTTTAGCATCAAGAGAGTAGTGAAGGGTTTTGCGAAAATATTCTGAGGAACTTTGAAGTTGTTTTTGTTTAAAAGGGTTGGGCGAGGGTGGTTATTTTTAGAGAGGATTCGTGGGTGGTAATAGGAGTTTGGAATATACGGTGCTAAAATAATAGAAATCAATTGATGAGAAAGACGTTGTCAATAAAAAAAAAA